TGCATGTACAAGAGGTGCATAAGTATACTTACTTACATGTGTATGTTTTATGCAAAGTCAGCATTTTTAAAAAGTTGTACATTTCCCCAGTTTATTTGTACTCTCATCCATCGTGACAACGTAACATAACAAAGTAATGTGTTGGGGTGGGTGCAGGGCGAAAATTAAAGGTTTTATGACCATCCTGCTACCATGCAGGCAGCAGTTCAAAAACTATGCGTATGTAATAAGACAAAGTTGCATAAACAAATAGACGAGCCGAGCCTGCTGCTGCATGTTGGCTAAATGTGCATAATATGCAGCATAAGTATTGCTGCTGTTGTTGGATATAATGCAAGAATTCGAAACGGTGTGTATACCACGAAGCTACATATGTGTTTGTACGGGTTAAAGGAGTTGAATGCTAAAAATAAAATATGGAGAGACTCAACTGCAAAAAGGTTTCACTTTTAGATGAAAACCACGAAAGGAATTGTTCTTCGTTCGTGAAAGAAAACACTTCTTTGAAAATATTGTCACCATTATGTCCCCATGATATTCAGCCAATGAACAAGCAATAAACTAATCACAATAATTGGTTTAAGCCATCCAACCCAAGTACATGTATTGTATTAGAAAGATGAGAATTTGTGCGTGTACTTTTGTATATATTTTTGGACTGACTCTGGTTAAGTATGTATGCATTCCTTTTGTTTGTTATTAGAAAAACACAACAATTAAACCAAACCAAAGACCAAAAGTTGGAACTGAATACCTTTCAAGACTCCAAATAAGCCTGAATAAGTTGCAGATAACAAATTAATACTGTTCAGAATGTAACCAGTAATTCCTCCTTCTCCATTTATGAGACTCCAACCGATAGAAATATTCCCCGTATAGAAATATTCCTCTTCCTCATGGACTTGGACCAAGTAATAAGTTTACATCATATTTTGATTTGAGATTTTCCCCAGTTCGTTTGACATCATCATGACTGGAGGATGAGAGAGAGGCAGAGTTCTCGTACATATAAGGGCATCATGGATGGAGGACTTAACTACTGATTCTTAAGAAGAAGAACAGCAGGTAGCACGTTTAAACCAAGCACAAGAACACAATGAGCTTTTGACTTTTGACTCGCTTTTCATTGTAAAATGTATCCAAGTTTCTTCTCTCTTGTAATAGCTTATCATCACTGCTTTCAAATTAATCTTGGCTTCCTTGCTTGGTGAGTGAGTGCCAGAGTGGAGAAGAATAATATGGCACTGGCTGCTGCAACGTTGCGTGTGTCTACTCGAGGTGCAACTATTTTCAATTTCTTTTATCTTTCTGAGTAGTGAGTGAAGGCTGGTATGGAAATAATCCCGTGATAGCGATGAGGACGATATGTACGCACCAAATATTTCGAGTCAAATATTGTCAACTCCTCGTTTACAGAGACGCACGCACCCATGAGCAAATTCATAAAGTTTTCAAGAAAGACGCGTGTTTTCCTACAAATAAGGCAGCGAGGAATTCGGAGAGATTTATTAAGAAAAGTTGTAATCTCTCTTGAATTTTATGTCCGTACAGGTGTTACGGATGGAGCTCCGAAAAAATTAGTTGAAATCCGATACTAATCCGGCATTGCGTATGAAGAGGGACAGCTAAATATTTTATAAACTGGACCACGTAAAATTGTAAGTTGTCATAAGTCCTTCTTATTTATTGAGTTTATGTACGAGCAGATGATCAGAAGAGGGAACACCCAGCCCAGAGCCATGGGGCAAAATATGTACGAGAGAGAGATTATTGTTCGTCGTCCACCTTCTTTACAAATGAAAAATGATTACTTCATTCCAAGACTAAACACGAGTCTGCTCAAGGGTGTAAGGTTGCAGGTTTTAAACTACAAAGTTTCAAGTTTACATTGTTATGACATGGAAAAAGAAATCGACAGCTTCTGGATACGATCTGTAAAAATAGTTCTTCTTCCGGAGGTTACAGCAAACTCAGTGCCGACTTATTTTGCTGGTCTGTTTAAGGTTTCTGTGTTGTGAGATGACATCATCACATTGGCCAAAGTTTACATATGTGGAAAAGTGCATGAGTTTTTTTTACTTGCAAGCAGTAGTACCAGATTGGTGATCGTTTGCAGTGATTCGTTCATGGTTTTCAGGTTGTTGGATTTCAAGTTAATCTTTATATTTATGACTAAAGATCATTGGAAGCTAGCAATTTTCAAATAAAATCAAGTAGATTATCCCCGAATACTGCAGAGATGTCTGACTATTAATAAATACTTGGTACATAATTGTGAAAGCGTGGTTTAATTAAATTTACTAAATATTTAGCATAATGAACAAAATCAGTGCCAGTCTCACTTAACACAACTAATAATAGCCATTGACTGGAGGAATTTAAATCAGGGGGTTCTCATCTACATAATTTTTCTAGTTCTAGTAATTGGACATTCTTGCCTGTACAAATGATCGCATGCCAATCGTGATCAGTTCAGTCGTCTTGTTAACTAACGAGGCAATAGGTGCTAATTTTTCATGGGCTCAGCATGAAAACGAGACTCACCTTGAACGTGACTGGCACAATTGCTGATGGAGAATTTGAGACTGATTTAGTTCACAAATTACACAGGTTTCTCAAGTCTCACCAGAACTGCGACAAGGTAAACGTATAATATTTCGCTTAATTAGTCCGATTTCACTTGTGGAGTTCCTTATTCCAGATTTTGCTCACATTTCCGAAATGCATGTTAACTATTTCAAAGCTATGTATTCACTCTCTCCAGTAAAATTTCCTTCCGTGGTGGTGGTTAACGTTTTACAATTAAGCTCTGCATGCCCAAGATTCATTCCGACTCCACCCACCCGACCAGAGCACAAAAGAACAATTGAAGTCTACACATTGTTGTTGTTGGTGATAAATGAGAACCACAAAACTCACCCGTTTTGTATAATGGACGACGAGTCTGAGTCTCACTCAGTCCAAATAAAGTATAAAACACAATTTGACCAAATTGACTTTTTACCAGTCCACCACCCGCCCGGAACCTTATCACAAGCACGGACTAAGCAACACTGAATCATAAACTGCATTGCATGGTGGATGCAATTGGATGGTTGAGAGTATTACACTAAAAGTTGACCCAGAGATCAAGTATTGTGGGCGATGAGACGAGACACGCACATATTCACCATTGCTTCGTAGTCCACATGCATACTGCACACCTGGACTGAACCGTATTGGTCGATTATTATTATTGTAAGTTGCCCTCACCGGTGTTATTCGACATTGGTATGAAATATATGCTCACTGCATATGTAACACGAGCGGTTGGCTGACTGGTGATGCTGTTACAGAGAGATTTGAAATTCCGAGAGATATTTGACACTAATAACTTTTGCACTCTTCACGAATTTCATGAAAACTGATATGTAGCCGGCATGAAGTTGAACGAATTTGATTACGGTTGCCGATTGGATTATCTGTAGTCTATGAATTTGTAATATGCACTTCTAATTGTCTTGTGAGTAAGAAACATGTAAAAAAGTAAGTTGTGTATTGGATTCTGGGAAAGGGAGAAATCTTGTGATGTTGGTACAACAAAGCTCAATTTCAGACTAAGAGTTCACGGTGGGAAGACGAAGAAAACAGAAAACCCGGGTGTTGGTTGTTGGTGGTGTAAAAACAAGGAGAGCATGGAGGATTTCATCTTGCTCTAGCCTGACCCAACAATTCTCTATTTCCTTCCTTCCTTCCTACACATAGGTATGAGTTGCATGGTGGATAATTCTTGGCCGAGATGCAACAACTATATCATCCACATTATGAAAGTGTGAGAATTACAAGTGCCAAAAGCGCAACACGTTTCCCAGATTTGACTTATGAGATGGGAGTCGAAATCTTGGAGGTTTTTTTTTGCTCAGCAAAGCACCATCATCAAGACCAACCGCTTTGAAGAGAGGTCCAAGTATGCATGTACACGAATCAGGAACTCTTTTGGTTTAAATAATTGTTATGTATGCCGTTTTTTTTAAATTGAAGGATTTTTTGTACTTTGTAAATATCTTCAAATAGGTGAAGAATAGCACTCAAGGGGAAAAAATATCACTGGCGACCCCACCCAGGTTTAATCTCCAATTAGCAAAAAATATGAAAAGCACGACCAATAAATTTTAATGATATAAGTTAATTTATGTAGAAAAATTGTATTGATTAAAATCATCAAGAATGCCTTGGCTACGCAAAACGAATGGGTATTCCGACCTGGCTTTTAATGGGTTTTAATGGGTTTTAATGGGTTGTAAATGAATAAAACCCACTGGGTTTTACCATGTTAAGTGGGTTTTATTAGGGTTTTAATGGGTTTTATTGGGTTTTAATGGAGTTTTACCTTATAAAACTATATTCTAAAAGTTAAATACATCTCCTATGCGTTAGAAGACGTTATCTCAATTCATTCTAAAGCAGTTTATTTCATTACTATCATAATATATGAAAATTCGGAACAAAGCAACAATTGACTCCATTCTTTAGCATCACAGATTTCAAGTGTTGTAAAACAAAAATAATTTCCGAATAGATACAAATTCCGAATAATTTTTGTTAAATTATTACTTAAAACTATTAAAACCCAATATAACCCATTTAAACCCAATAAAACCCATTAAAACCCAAATAAAACCCAATTAACATGGTAAAACTCATTAAAACCCATTAAAACCCAAATAAAACCCAATTAACATGGTAAAACCCATTAAAACCCATGGGTTTTATAATTTTTGATTAAAACCCTGGGTTTTACCGAACCCTGCGAATGATGTGTCCCCAATGGATTTTATGTGATTAGGGGCCATAATTGGCATAATTGATGGCATTTGTCAATTGTCTCTGGAGTATGTATGACAATTTTTGAGACTCATTACACGAATGGATGGAAAAGAGGTTATTTTTATTTATTTATTTATTCTACTCGTTGGCCCTTTGATTTATTCTATGATGAGCAAGAAATAAGACATCATCCATTTAATTTTTCATTTGAATGCGTTTGGTATATTCGTTTTTTAGATAACAATTACCCATATCACATTTGAAATGGTATGCTAATCGTACATATTAAAATATAAATTTGTGTATAAAGTTGGAAGAAGTCATTATTATGTCAGTTTGTGGACTGTCCGTAAATTGCGTAAAACGTTACGCCTACCTCGAATTACTAAATGTGTACATTATATTGTGTAACGTTTACGGACAGCCAATAGCTTAATATAATTTGAATTTAATTCTACAATAGTGAATTTATAGAAAATGGTAAAATACAGTTGATGTGAAGGCATTATATGTATTTAGCAATAAAGTTAACAAGATCTCAAAATTATTTAACATTAATAACTGTAACTTGGTAGAAGTTGTTTCAAACATTCTTTACTTGATAAGATTTTGTCTTTAATTCATAAATACGGGCCAGACGTACAACGTTCCTGTTGAACTCTCCCGTAAGGTTACCGTTTCCATCTGTCCGTCTCGATTTTGATAAATTACACCTTCCGGTAAATCCTGGAGAGTCGCTACCGCAGCCACCTTCAACGTGCAACACTTTATGAAACATTACCGTTGACCGGAAGACAGGAAAATGTATGTGCAAATAACAAAGTAAATGGGAAATCAACTACATAATTCATTTTACAATAATAATTACAAAGCAGTGTATAGTTTAGTAATCCATTGAAAAAATATACATAAAATGCAAAGAATAAAATAGTAAATAGAATAAATAGCTTAGAACAGAATTAGAAAATATAGCAAAGGCATTTCAAAGAAACTACGTACCAAGTACGATTTTTATCCAAAAGCACATTAAAGCGATAAAGTAAGTAATTTATTCGAAAGATAGAATAATAACATTAAATAAAAACTATGAAACTTAATTACCAAAAATAGAGTAACAAAAGAAAATATGTATGTGTGTAATCTAGTTTTTGAAATCTCTAAACCGCAGTTAAATTTAAAACAGATTAAACTGAACATGAGTAAGAAACAATAGCCCAAAGTTGAAGCAGTGTAGAAAATATATTCTCATAATTTTAGTATTGTGTAACAAATAAAATGTACGTATTTGCATCACTTACGCTGAGATCAGCCGAAGAACCACCTTGGCTCAAAGTTATATTGATTGGAGTTGCATCACCGAGATCTGAATTAATCAGTTCGTCATTGGACTGCTGGACTTCGTATTGAATAATTTGTGTTTGCGAAGGGCCAACAGTACGGATTGTTCCAGAAGAACTCGCATCAACCCCACTTATGGCTAGATGTTGAGTAATTGGGGTCGAGTTTATGATCTAGAATAGAAATTTAATGGTTATCTTTGAATCTTTAAACAGTTGAATTTTTTATGCTCGTATAAAAAAGCACCTGGCCACTTGGAGAATTTGTTCCGACAGCAACTATAGTAGATCCTGCAGGAATGGACGATCTCGATGTTGTAGCAACGGACACGGTAGTGGTCGCAGTAGTAGTCGTAGTATTATTTGATGACGTAGAATTGTTTGTAGAAGAGGATGTAGCTGGAAGATTTGAATTTTCACGATTGTGAGAAGACATGTGGCGTTTCATGTCCGATCGAACTCGAAATGGCTTTCCACAGATATTACAAGAATGTGGTTTCTCTCCCGTATGAATTCTTCTGTGATTCTGGAGATAACTGGCAGCTCGAAATGTCTTATCGCAAAAATCGCATTGGTAATTCCTTTCTCCAGTGTGAATTCTTCGATGGACGATCAAACTGTACTTGCGAGCAAAGTCTTTTCCGCAAAATTCACATTGATATTGTCTTATGTCTGAGTGAATTGAGATAACATGGTATTTGAGATCACCCCATTGCCGGAAACTTCGACCACAGTGCTCACATTTATATGGTTTTTCTCCAGAGTGAAGTCTCATGTGCACCTAATCACACAAAATTTAGCAATTTATAAGGAAAATGCACACAATATATATAGTTAAATTAAGTATACCTTTAAAGCGGAAGTAGCGAAAAAACTTTTTCCACATTGCTCACATTGGTGAGGACGTTCGCCAGTGTGACTTCTCATATGATAAACCATGGAGTTGCGATGATTGAATATTCGATCACAAACGGCACACTTGAGAACTTCCTGTTTCCGCTGACCCGTGGGCGACCTTTTCTTCTTATTTCCACCTTTATTCTCAATTGATGCAAGCTCCATTGCCAAATCAGGATGTAATTTCTTCACGTGTGCTTCCAATTTGGATCTAGTAGCAAATAGCTTATCACAGCTTGGACAAAGATTCTCATCTCCTAAGATATATTCGTCTTCATCATCAAACTCCAATTCTGCATCACTTGGAATAGCAGTGGCTTCCTTTTCGATTTCAATATCTTGGAAAGACTCGTCAAAATATTTCTCAGTCTTTAACACATCCAACTTTATTACAGGTTCATTTCTCTTTTGCTTTTTAGCCTGAAATACCCAGTACAAAAAAATTATAAATGTTGTAAAGTATAAAAATTGTAAGAACTTCACTTACCAAATTTCTTTGGACACAGGCACGTTTTTTTCGAGAACTCGGCTTCTCACAGGGAACTGCAGGGGATGAATGCATAGCTTTGATATGAGCTTCCAACTTTGATATGGTGATGAAATGCTTGTCGCAGTCGGTGCAAATATTTTCATCCTCTGTCAGAGAAGACTTTTCTTCTTCATCCCCGTCAAATTGTACCTCTGTTTCGCTTTCTACAATGGTAGCAAGTGATTTGCTACCAATTTCTAACCCTGGCAGAGATTCTGTTACTGTATTATTCTCAGTCTGTGGAAGGACGTCTTTTTCATTTTTTGGGGGTTTCTTCACCTGGGACGAAAAGAAGAATAGAATAAGCACTTTGAATCCAATTTTAACCCTCATTAAAAATAACAAATAATAATCAATACTTTTCCGTCTTGCACCTTTCCAAGAAAATTTGAGCAAATCTCTTTGAGCAAGTTTCCTAGATCACTACGCACACAGTATAGCTCCTGAAAATCAAAAGAAAACAATGTAATGTAATATGAACAACATCGTATCAGGGCATAATGTTAATTCTGTATATTTAACCCACTGGATTGTACTTCAACGTAGTGACATATATTTTGATAGCTTGATCCATTTCTCCTACAGCGATCAAAGTGCCAGCAAGATTTACGCAGCCATCAATAAACTCTGGTTTTAGTCTGATGGCGTGTCGATAATTTTCTAGGGCTTCTTGTAATTGGCCCTTCTCCCTGTAAACGCTCCCAAGATTTGAATAGGCTTCCGCCAAATGTGGATTCTGCTTTATTGCCATATTACTGTAGGATGCAGACCTGCAAAAAAGAGTATAATCAGCCCTCAGTGTTCGAATGAATACGTAATACTTCATTTTCCCTTTATAAATGTACCCTTACTTGTCTAATCGACGGCACTGGAAATGAATGGAAGATAAAAGGAGAAGCATGGACGTATTTGTCGGCTCTTGTCGCCATAATTCCATACAATGTAGCTCAGCATTTTCGTAATCTCCAGTTTGATACGCACGATGAGCTAATTCCAGCAACCCTGAAATATTCATTTGAAACGACTTTAACCAATTTGCCAAAAACAAAAACTAATATCGTCTAATGCTTGGATTTGACTAAAATTGAATCGAATTTGTGATACGCATTGTCACACAAACAGTTTAGCAGACTAAAGTAGTTAACCTCAATCAATTACATTGTTCTTACTCAACTTCCTGAACAACAATGATGGAAATTAAATATAAAACCTCTACCCACTTCGCACATTCACAAGTTCGATCGTCGTCGACATTACTCTAAATTATCTTACCCAACTTTGCGACAGGGGGCTCGAGCATGTTTATTTGGAGCTGAACATCCTGGAATAAAATAACAATTGAAATTTACACAAATCAAATTCTTCTCACGAAAAATACATAAAAAATAATTACCTTTGCCTGACAAAGGAGTTTCTTCATCTGAACTAAACTTGCACCCCACTTCTATTTTGACCAAATATAAAGGCAACACCACTTCTTAAAACGTACTGTCCACAATTTGTAAGAACTACCATCAGTAATTCACAATTTCAAGGGGGAATTCGTCCTTTAATGACAAAATTTTTGTAGCACAAGCATTATCTTCCTCCCAATTTTTTTGCACCTTCATAATAATTTAATTCTCTTCATTTTAAATTTTGGTGACCTGGAAAAGCCAGAAATAAAAAATTTTGAATTTAATCAGGAATATTGTTATTAATCTATAGTGGTAGTGAGCATAGGTTAGTGGGTGTCGTGTGTTTATTGTTACCAAAAAAAACTACTGTCCAAAGGACTGATACATGGTTTCTCACTCGAGGTTGCCAGTTGGGCGGAAGGGGAGCTTGCGAGAAGTGCCGAGGGTGGGCGAATACTGGCAACTGCGCGCACTGCATTTAGTACATTATTCAGTGGTGCAGGCATTTTCATCGCATGGTTTTCAGGGTTGAGGCCAGACTGCTGAATTTCTGAGCAGTTCAAAACCATTTCCTGGATCGATGTGATTATGGCATGGCACACAAAAAAACGGGTGAAAATGACACCCAAAGACGACTGCAGCGTTTTCATCATCCTTGATTAAATCCTGTTAAATAATGTATTGGTGGAAAATTGTATTTGAACATTGACGACAATGGCGACAGATGAGATTTTACCAAAATATAGACGTCTGAGATTGTTGGAATGGCGCATGGGGTAGGTATTCTCATACCCAGGAGGAATTATGCTTCTGGGGGTTTCAAAGCGTTACCGGTCCCATATAAATATTCTTTGAGAATGGGATTGTTATTCAGGTCCGGTCTGATTGAGGGGGGCGATAAGTTGTGACAAGCCATCCTGTGAGGAATGATTCGTAAATGCTTTTAATAATAAAGTATACAATTAAAACTAATAATAAATAATTGTTTGATTGATAAATTGTTGATGAATCAAACACAGCGCATTAATTATTACTTTCTTCAATACCTTCACCATTCCGTTGACTTAATTGTTGTGGTAAATTACTTGATATTACCCGGAAATTCAAATCTGATCAATTCATATCTTGGCCCTCAGTTCTGTAGTACTCTGCGCCCTCCACCTGTTATGACCATCAAAAGGTTCAACGATTCAACGAATAATTATGATTGAAACCAAAACAAAGTACTTAAATTACTAGAAACCAGTAACCACCTTACCAAATTGCTTGATTATTATTGCTGACAATAAAAGGATTGTCGCGGAAAATAATCGTAAGCATATTTTGCCAAAAAGTTGACCGTCGACGTGGGGTGGATTAAATTTCAAAAACTGACGACTGTTGTTATTTTCCGTAGGCTGCACACACGCACGTGGTGAGTGAGATGAGATTTTACAATTTCGATGCATGACAAACTTCACGCCTTTTTGAATGAAATTTGATATGTGTGAGGCGTACATGAAATGAAATTTAAATAGATTTTTCTGTCCCAGCAAGTTTTCAACTGGAAATAAATTCCTCCACTACCAAATTCATTCAGCTTATTCCTTCCTTCGTCGGTTTGACGCGATGTGTTGAGAGTGAGCGAGTGGTGGCTGAGGATGAGAGCAAGAAGTGTGAATTGAAACTCAGGAGGAGAGGTTCGGAGGTTGGCAATACCCATTTTTATTGTTTTTGAATATTTTCTAAAATTTCCTGACCAGATCTTCGAAAAAATCAAAACTTCTAAAAAGCTGGTTTGATATTGGACATGATAAGCTCATATCTACGATCAAGGAAATACAAAACTTTCAAAATTCGACTAATATTGTTTGGGGAAAAACAAGGCTTTTTCATGTTTTCCGTTCCTTTTAGTGGGTGTGGCTGGCGTAAATTGGGTCATAGAGTAAGATCAGTTTTAGTACATTCATCAGCTAACATATCCAAAGGGCATCAAAATCGGGTATTGTCAACCTCGCAACCTCTCCTCCTCAGCAGCACAAGGCGTCTCAAGTTCTCAAGTTCCATGGTGTTGTCTTGTCCCACCTCGTCTTGAAAAGTGACACTGCTGAAAAGAGATCGATCGGCTTTCTCCTCATCCAACACTACCAGCAACATGGCAATTTCGAACTGCAAAATCATACCATTTTCTATTTCTACTTAACTTTACTACCAAGGAGCAGCACTGCCCCAGGAGAAGGACCACGCATACATGCGGCTTTTGTATTACTCCTCCAAGGTTCAGACCAAATTCTGCTTTCACTAATTTTGACATGTTCCAAAATGCTGAAGGATCAATGTGACTCGCAAGACTCGATCCCTATGTCTTTCATCGATAGACGTATAAATTTCAAAATACTGAGAAGAAGGAGAAAAAAACTGTACTATTTCCAGGACCGTCTGTCATCATCATTCTTGGTTTCTGCTGCAGCTGCCTTTCCCCAGATTTCTTTTTTTCCTTCCCGACAAAAAATCTCGGTATTCCAAATCATATTTGGTTCTTCAAAATGCTTTCACCTCCCATACATTCATGGTGTGATGATGTTAATAATAAAATGCTCCTTATTTTTTTTACACAAGAATGGGTACGAGAAACAAGGCTGGCTGGTGGAGGTGATGATGTAAAAAGGAGTTCGTATGTATGTATGTATGTATGTGCTTAACAGGAGAATAGAAATGGGAGCTCATGCACTTTTCATGAATTTCATCCTCTCTTCTTCTTCGTCGACTAGGTATTTTGGGAAACGTTGAGTTCACTGGGTTTAAACGACAAGGTTTTTTTTGCTCGGATATCCTTTGAAAATCAACATCATCCTTCCTCTCACGATAAGAATGAATTTCTTCAAATATTTAATTCCGTAGATGGATAAACGAAATTATAATCTTTTTTTGTCTTCTAGTTTACGTAACCATGATAAAACTAGGAATAAAACTTTATTTTGAAAAATAAGAGACGAAATAAAACTCCCATTTAAGAAAACATAACGCCTTTTACTCATAAAAAATATATTTCCTTTCACCAAAACAAGAGCTATCTTATACTTTCCCTAATTTAATCGTAAACAGCTCTGACGCATGCAGTGATCAAAGAATAAAATAAATCTCAAGATAAAGAAGGCAGAAAGCGCTTTAACGAACTTTCTTTTTAGGCTTATTACAAAATAGAAATGTTGGTTGTGTGCCATCATTGTGCAATAATTTTGAATGCAGACTTTTGAGTGTGTTTGCATTCGTAGAGTAATTCATTCACACACAAGGAGATATGTACACATGTTGTGTTAGATGAGAAAACTACCCGTACTACATGAAAGGATCTCTCGTTTTATTAAACAAGTAAAAAGCAGTTTACTTTCCACCAGCTAGAACTTGCCTGGATCAGAATCAGACACGTTTTCAATTGAATAATAATAATGCCAACTCAGCCTTGCTTTCACTAAGCAACGTGTCATGTACAGGATTCAGCAACTGGTATTGTTTGGCCGCAATAAATAAGGCTTTATGTATATGTACCTGCATATTCATCCCGTTACAATAAGAAGCAATTTACTACTGATTTCGGTAAAGAAATCAAACCCTGACATTTATTCGGTTACGTCTGAGCTGCTCGGGAGACATGATTGAGTTTGGAAGTATCAACCTCAAGAATAGATTGGCAACTCGCTCGATTGACAAACATATTTCATTCACCAGTTTGCGTAATAATAAGTCTATTTACATTACAATGGGGGCGTTACACGTTGTAAATTGGATTTTACCTTGGGTTGTTGTTGCTTATTTATTATTAGTATACTTTGGAATTGGTGTGGATTTTATCACTTCCACTTCGTACCTGGCTTATTCGTAAGTGAATATGCTATAAAAAGGATTGGGAATTTGGTGATGAATCAATACCATCATCGTTTTCCATTCGAGAACACATTAAATATTTAGAACTGACTGTCAACATTTCCAAATTCGGGATATCGGTGACTCTTGCAGTGTACGAGACATGATGCAAAAACCTATTTCATCCAATTTTCACTTCAAAAGGAAATTCCAATAAATGTTTGCACTCACTAAATTTTGCATTGCATGAATGATAAATTGGAGTGCAAAGCGGCTTCTGCTGCTCTCAATTTTGAATGAGATATCTACAAAAGAATTTTGCAAGTCGGGATTGATTGTGGTGGTGATGGAATATTATTGACCCAGCGGAAATTGACGGGGGAGAAAGCAAGATGATGGTTGACGGTTAAATGGACTATATAATTTCAACCAGCAGGATTTCAACCAACGACATAAGCAGAAGAATGTTTCGCTGATGGCTGAATTATCTATGATAACATCTCCTGGAAACACTGTTATTTTTGCAGGCTTATAACGGAAAATATGTATCTGGGTGATTGACGTTTCAAAATTTGTCGACCTGAGAATACGGATAACACAACCATAATGCTGCAATTCCGCTAAAACTATTGCTAACAGAGGCCGTCTATATTTGGAATTTCTAAAACAAATTCATTAGTGGATTTTCGCAGGATTGAAGCCAAAAGGTGCGAAAGCATTTGTTTATTTATTTGTGCTATGAATATTCCTCATTCAACATTTGTTTGACGTAGCAGCACCGGTTGCACCAGGTTCAATCTCGTGTAAATAAACTTACTGAAAAGTGATCTACGTAAGAAGGCAAGGATTGCAGGCAGCGTTGTGCAAATTAACATTCATTCAGTTCTGTACATACATAGTTAAAAGATTGATCGAGTTTCACCAACAAATTATGAGCATGTACCCACGTTCGTCACCCTGCAAGGATACTGATCAATAATTTATACTTAGGAGTAATGTTTAGTTAGAAAGTTGGATAACGTACATAATTGCTCCTGAATACTTAAACATTTCAGACTCTGAGTGTTTGTTTTTGTGGAAATGTGATGTGGTATGTGTGTTGATGTGGTATGCGGCAGAAAATGAAGTTGCTAGAGGTTAGCAGGCAAAGAGGGTGTAACAAGGTTAATTAAACAACATGACAAACTCGTCGACTGTAAATTCGACTGCGAGACGTGGTAATATTCCAGACGTGCCACACGAACGACAAGAGGAGAGTTTTGATAGTCAAAGAAGAAGAAGACGTGCAAAACTTGGGGTGGTAGTAATGCATAGATTTCACTAGATTATACTCATTTCCTGATATGCAGAGATGAACATCAAAGGAAATGAGCCATTTAAAAAGTTGGGGTTTACACAAAAAGAATGGAAAAGTGTCGGTGACAACAATGGAATTTTTATTCTACGTTTCCTAAATCCTAGTACTGACTGAGCTACATACATTAAGTTTTATTTCAGAAGAAGAGGCATTTGGAAATGTATAGGAAACAGAGAGGGATCAGAAGAAGGTTCCATTACACGAAACCAAAAATGTCCTAAAGCTCTTTGAAATGAGGGAATAAAAGTTTAAAACAAAAAAATAATTGCTATTATTCAATTTGCATAGAATTAGCATTATTTATATAGTGATTTAGTGAATCACGAATAGTGATTAGAACTACGCTACTCCATTATTAATCTCCACCCGTCGAATATTACAAGCTTGTTAACTAATGTAGGGCAACATATATACTCGACATAAGTAAATAATGCTTTCCTATCTACATAATATGTACTCATCTTCATAAATTTTCAAAATAACTTTCCATGCAAGGACCGTGAATTTCTACATAAACTGGGAATATCATCCTTGCATAAGCACATACTTATCTAGTTAGTTAGCAGGGGTGACATGTGAATGTGACATGACATGGGGACAAATAAATTCCGAGTCACAAACTAATCTCATCGTTACATGATGCAGAGAGACGAATTACTCTAAACGACGACGACGACACTCTCAAAATTCGAGACTCACCCACGTGGAGCCGTATGTAGTAAATACAAATACATAACTTGGAGCCGTAGAAAGTAATCGGCAATGACGACGAGGATGGAAACGACCACATAACCACCACCACCACGTCGCAGCAGTGTCAGTACGATGTACGATCAATCAAACCAAAGAGAAGAAGATCTCTCCTGTAATTCTCGTAAAAATATCCACCCAGAAATGAAATTCTGGTCTCAAAGCGTCTCTTGGAATTGGTGATGGCAAATTGCTCCTTTTTACTCCCTCGTTTATAAAGGATGATTTAGACTCCGGGATTACCAAGATGAATGAAAGTAAAACAATTAGTTTGCATCAAAGAGGGAAAATTATACTAATCCGAAGGAAATTATGGATGATTACAGAGCAGTTTTTTTTATACTCTTTCCCCTCTATATCCACACATGCTCGTGTGGTTTGGTTAGTTAGTTTTGTGATCACGTATCAAAGAGAAAGTGCAAAGTTTCACTTGAAAATCCAAAACCAAAGAGAACAAAACAGAGAACGGAACAATCGGGACGGGGTGCGGTGATATCAGAGGAAAAGATATTGAACCACTTTCACCCAGCAGAAAACAGTATGCATTTACATTTTGGGCGGACTGACACATGGCTCTCGCTCTGGATGTACGAGTCTATGTCGTTGTGTTGTAGTTTAGTTGTACACGTTGCTGCATGGGTTGAGTGCTTTCTCTCTCTCTCTTTCGCGTACATAAAATTCTGCAGCGACGTTTGGTGCTTCCTCCTCAGCGGAGAATTGGTATTATATGGTCTGCTGGTTGTTGGCTGGTGGCGATATATAACCCAACCGACTCGTTTTCCCCGACCGGAGTTTCCTTTTGCCTCTTGGTCGACTCACATCTCATCGCTCGTCCTCTCTCAACTTTCTCCGCGATCACCACTTCCAAGCCAGATACGTAATCGTTCCCATTCCAATCGAAAAATAGGCTCTTTACGACGACAAATCTCTCTTCTAAATGTGACATTTTGTGAGTCGCAGTCAGAGGTAAGCATTATTACTTGAATAGTTCCCACATTATGAAAACAAAGACGAGACGAGTTTCTGGTTGACTTATCGCAATTAAACCGTCCCCATCCAGAGTCGACGCTACTTGAGAAAGCGAACCTTTACTTGAACAAGCGACGACGACGACCACGAGTACGAGGTGGTACAATCCGAAAGAATTTGCAGAAAACCAGCCAATAATACAAACACAGCGGTGGAGGAAGTGAGCTCATTAAGGTTTGCGAGGTGGGCAGCAGTACTTTTGTGGAGTCTCAACCTGGATAACTTTCTCCACTTGAGACTAATCATACCAAACCGAACCAAACCAACCAACTAGCCAGTCGACTACCCGGATTTATTCCCTCAACGCTGCTCCTCCTGTATTGTTGTGTGGCGAATTAAGGAAGGCGATCTCAAGGAGGTAAAGTTTCCACTCATCTGCAAAGAAGTCGCATTGATAGCGGTGCTACTCTTCGTAGTGCCACTACCCCACTTTACTTGACACCCTCCTGTTTCGACACCCACCACTTCGAGGACAAAAGACCTCGAGTGATTTGAACAATATCTCGCATTGCGGACGTTAACGAGTAGAGGAGTAGCGTGTGTGACTTGTCAACTTTATCGCGTAAGTGCATCCAAGGAGAGAACATATTCTGCAGGAATACAGTAAGCCACGCTTTCATTATCTTCCATCACGCCTATTAATACCCCACTTCTTCGACGACCACGGTTTCATACATAAATAGTTGAAAAACAGAGTGGATTTTAGCCACTGCACTGGATCACTGCCCGACTAATAAATACGTGAAGAGAAACTCGGACAAACTGCAAACTTTCTCCTCACTCGAGGTGGGTTGGTTTGGTAATCTGCAGAGTTAACTGGGAAACAAAATCTGGGCAAGTTTAAGTCAGTCAGAACTACTCGTACCACGACTCACTCAAGGAACAAAGTATCACAAAGCCAAGCACGCTATCTGTACATCGCCACCAGGCAGGAATACTGTAGCATAATCGCGACAAAGTGGACGGGTGGAGATGAAGGGACAAGAAGAAGTGTGCAAGGCTGCTTTCTGCTAAATAAATAGGCACAATATACATACGGACGTACGTCGTGTGAGTCACAGAACTGAGAAAGAAAGTCTTTTCATGTCAACGAGGACTACTGTATGTGTGCACACTTTTGGAATGGACTCACTCGTGCTGCTGGTCTTGCTTTCGCCTGGTAAAAGATAGGCAGCCAATCTATTGATTTTGAGTGTTTTGAGCAGCAGAAGAAGCAGAAAAAGAAGAAGAGGGAGTCTTATACCTAAAAAAGTAAGTTAGCTTTTTTGACACTGACTGAGCAGCCTTATTGACCGAGTTGGCATTGGATTTCGTCTCACTCAATATTCACTTTTGATAGGAAGAGCAGGACCAAACAGGAAGATTAACATTCACAACTTTGTCTAAACCCAATCCGAACTGGATCTTTATTTCATAGTGGAAAATTCCAAAACGGGAGGAAAGTCCGACAAAACGAGTCCCATTCAATATTTACAAGAGGGGAGCGAGGAGGAAAATGGTCTCGATCTGAATTTAAGGTATGTACAGGTTGTCCATTTTTTCTCTCCGGCATGAAACTGATTTCCTTTCTTCTTGGCTACGCGGAAAGAGATTTGATTCCGTCTACGACTCAGATGTGGTCGCTTCTTAAGTGTTTGGTTGATGCTAAATTGCAAGGGAAGGATAAACTTTATGTGTATGTCCTGCTGCCATTATCCCCGAGTGTTTACTTTATGCTATGCAGCATGAATAAAATTCTAGAAATTGTACGGTTTTCTTCGACGGATCGTAACGAAATGCACTACGCACTCATATCTACTTGAAGCATGGTAATATTATACACACATCGCGTTGGTCGGAACATGCATTAATTTCTCGAGTTTCACGCAAGTTCTTCCCAAGTTGCACATTTCGCAGAGTCCCAAAATATGCTACACATACTTCCACCAACCCACCAACGAACTAGAGGCGAAATCCCATAGCAAAATTTAAGGTGAACGCATTCCAGTCTGCACGTTGGTGGCGGATTTGTATAATGACGAGGCTGGAGAAAGTGAAGTGCAAATGGTAAATAGAGAATGAGTCCGGACACAAACTCGTGATTCCAACTACTGCTCGATATATACGTACCAGCACTTTTGGCGAGGTTGGATTAAATCCAATGTGAAGGTAGAGAAAGTCCCATTTCAAAATCAGTATTATTCCGAGGCCTTGTTTTGCTTTGTTTTATGGTCTCCTTGCAAGGAATGCGTTTTATGGAGGAGAATAAAATGTAAGGGATCGTTGTAATCGTCATTGGACATTGTTATGGTCGATATTGTTACTCAAATTTGCTGACAAATCACAATTTCCTTCCTTTCCTTAAGTCCAACCGGGTAGAAAGCTAGGCTCTTTGGGTGAGCAGACCAATTATTGCGAATTTTTAAGCGCAGTTTTAAATGCCAGACTGCATAACTAAATAGTTCTTAGTCTGTTAAAAATTGGGATGCATTTGATTATTCATTCACCCCAAGTCGGGTTTTCTCGCCCTATTGAACACATATTTTGTGCTGGAGAGAAAGCTGCAAATTGTTCCTGGGAGACTATTACTTTCACTTACCCAAATTTATGAAGAGAAAACTGTGTGCACTGCACTCTTGCACGTCCACCAAAATAGTCTGGAATATGTACATACAGCTTCACTAATAAGTCTGCCAACAGCAGGGTACTCTTGGCGGATTGCTGAGCAATAAATGCAGCAGACGGCAAAAAGAAAAGCATCTTTAGTGTATTTACTTTCTCCCTCTCGTCGTCGGAAGGAATGGCTTGCGTGAAAGTTGTGAACCCATTCATTCACATTTCCTTGTTTCTCTCTGTATACATATATTGGGGATCTATTGATCTTGGGAACAAGTGATTTTTTAGGCTTGATGGGAGGATTGGAATCGGCTTAGATTGAGAGCAGGCTCATTCTTCTCGCTAATGGCAAAAAATGTGAGAATTACTGCGAAGAAATTGCAGCACGACCTCGATTGTCCTTATCTCGAGAGAGTAATGGAAGCAAGCAGTGTGCTTCGTGACGTGGTTCGCTCACTCTGAATGAAATATTCATATTTTCCATATTTCCTCCGGATGATTGCTACTTGTGATAGTTTCTATCCGCAAATGTTGCCCGTTGATATTTTTACACGGCACGGAAGATTTTTTTCTTTACGATGTGATGTGGAAATCTTAAGTGAAACTTGCTGCAAATTTATCAACCATTAAGAATCGCACTTTAGGTAATGTACACTCGGGTGCTTTTATGTAGAATGTTGAGGTGAAAGTGTGTGCATATGTACATCCGCGTCATGTATTTTCTCTCTTCACGACCAGCCAATCAGCCGCCATCCATTCACTTCAAAAGGAGTCTGTAACTAAACTACTGTGTGTCCTGTAACATGTCCAAAAACCACATTAGTCAACAAAGAGAATCACTAAGAGAAGAAGAGAGATTGCTAATTTGGGCCAAGTATGTATAGCAAGGCGACATCTCATTACGTCCGAAGACGCCGGATCTGGTTTAATGACACACTGTTGCCCGTGTAGTCTTCTTTGTGGTGGGTGATGCAGGCTATCGGGTGGTAGTCGTCGTTCCTGGTGTGAATGTGTAATTTGGTTATCTTTATCTTCCACTATAATCTCCGAGAAAAGTGGCCATTCTCCTTAAACTAGACAGCTCGCATAAACAAAAAAAACAGAGAAAGACTGCTTGTTGAGCTGAGAAGGAGGAGGAGGGGAAAAAAAAGAAGGAAAAGGATGTCTGTGCATGTTGTTCATTTTGTTATACAACGTGTTATTTTGTCTCATCATATTATCCACGTGAACAGGATATTCATGTAGAATTTTATTTTACGAGATTGTTCAGATTTGTGTTCAAGACAATGTTTTGTGTGCGTGGAATGACAAATTTATTAAGTTCCTGCCAGTCTCGATACCTTGAGAAATTTATATTCTTTCTATTTCCCGTCTGGTGCGAAAATATGTCAAGTATTCGTTCGTTGAATAAATAATATGTCTACTCAAGGTTATGGATGGCTTATTCTGCTGCTTGCCTTTGAATTGGAAGCCCCTTTCATTATCGGGATAATTTATAACGTGTGCCAAATTTGCAAATACTGTATAATTTACGATACATACATAATCAAACAGAGCTGCGTATGTATGTAAGTAAGTAGCAAGAAGATAGTTATGGAACGTGGTGCTGCACAGATATGTTGGGGCTGATCCTCATTAATTTGTTAATTATGCCTAGATTAGCGAAACCAATACTCATGCAACTCGATTCATTAAAATGTTAGTAGCAAATTGCTGCTTTTTGGCTTGTTTATCCATTTCAATAACTGAGACAGTACGGAATAATGGACTACGGACTTTAACTTTGTTTCTTTGTGTGGAAACGACAGGGGAAATAATTGGAAAAGAAATACTTATTTCTCAGCCCTTGGTTGTTGTCGAGTCCAATTGTAAACGTGTTTTTACCTCGAGAGAGGACTGACTGCGTAACTTCATACTATTTTTACCCGGCGTATGTATTGTCTTCTCGAAATTTAGTAGTGGAATCACAAAAGAAACTTAATCCACCATATTCCTCTTCAGTCAAAAAAAAGGGGAAAAAGTTGCTGGATGTGTATTATGAAGGATGGAGTGAAATGGAATCGCGAATACTTTTGCGAGAGGGATGAGAAGAGGAGAAAATAATGTCTTGCAGAATTTTGCTTCCCGTCCAACTTTCAATTAATGGTTTTATCCCTTGTTTCAGGAAACTCCATTTCCATCCATCCAACTTTCTCACTCGAGTGTTTTTACTTATTTGCAATTTCAGTAAGTAGACCACTTCTTCTTTATTTTTTCTCCATTCTCCAACAAATTTACATCACAACGCACTTGTTCTGCTCGGTGAGTTTTGTTCTGAGAAAAAGGCATATGGATGGAGGGAGGATTGCACACATGTAAGGTCTGCCAACAGGATGGTTATAGTCATATTTTGGGTTCATACATATAAGTAAGAAAGGTGGGATCAACATGTGTAAACTTTTACTAAACGGCTGAATGAATGACTAACTTCTTGGTAAAGAAAATGGGGAAAGTTATTGCTGGCTTGTTCGTCTTCTTGGACGAGGTGTTTAAAAAGTGTTAATTTATTCGACTCCAAGTCAAGTTTTTCTCATATCATGAAATATCTGTGAAATATCGGCTACGTGTATTCATACATTTAGATTTTGCCATTTCATTGGAAATTTATAGACACACGTTTTCCACTAATTATCCAAAAGCACTGCAACGATGTAGATAAGCTTGTCCCGCGAGACATATTTAGCAACTTTGTTTCCGCCATGATCACTTTGCGAGTTGAAAAAATGTTTTCATTTAGAAAAAGCTTTTGCATATAGAGAGCTTTGAACAATGGGATGGATGATGGAAGGCCAGAAAGAAGGCAAGTTTGTATACGTATGTCTGTGCAGGTGTCTATATCAGATATGCTTTCTAATAGTCAAGTTGCGAGGTTTCTGAGAATTGACATTTTCCCATCACCTTTAGCCAGACGAAAAAAAATCCTCTTTTCTCTCATTCTACTTCTCGCTGTATGAGCCATCTTTCAAAGCTCCTCACAGGTTGAGATCTCCTTGTACAACATATTCGCCATTTCTCCAGACACGACCGAGTCAAAATGGCGAAAGGCAAAAAGTGACGAAGAGTCGGATTATAGAGAGCAAAGTTAACTTAAGCAAAGGTTGCGGATTTTAAGGTGAGCCCCAAAAAAGTTGGATGCCTTATCACCACCAAAATATGGACTGGGTTGTGTCCCTCGTCAACCTGTGAATGCGAAAATAATCTTTTTATGATAACAAAAAACATGAACTATACAAGTCTGGCTTTCGTATGGCTCCCTTTTCTTGATGGGTGCTTACCTTACATTACGTGGTTTAAAAGTCGTTAGTCCTTCATGAAAATTTGCGAGGCTTCTTTGTCCGTCATTTAAAAAAGAGTAAGTTTCCAAGTGTGGTGGTTCAAATCCGAATCAAAAAATGTCATCAAAAGTAGGCAAGTAATCCGTCCTTAGCTTGGCAGGTACTAGGTTTTGATGTCTCAATTGTTCGCGAGTTGCAAACTGCCCAGCGATGTGATCACGTTTGAGTTTACGATTCCCAGAGTCAAGCACAATGAAGGGAAAGAAAGGTAAATTTAATACGAGACGGCTTTTGTAAGGAAACTTTACGTCTTCGCCACCACAAGTAAATTTTTCTACCCTTCTTCTTCTTCAGTCAATGTGCGTCATTGAGTGTTGAACAACTTATTACTTTCTCTCTTCTCCGGACTAAAGAGCTACATTTGTACAACTTTAAAATCCTTACGGTTTTATTGAATCCTATCCTGCTTGGTTACCCAATTCTAGTGTTTCTCACGGGTTCGGGTTCTTACTTCGGGTTTCGGGTTCGGATTCGGGTTCGGATTCGGGTTCGGATTCGAAATTTCAGAACCCGAAACTTTCGGGTTCGGGTTCGGGTCCGAAAAATCT